ATTCAGCACTTGGCCTTGTTGTATCTCATATAATTGGCCTCGGCCCATTGATCCAGCCTGTCCAGGTCCCTCTGCAGAGCCTTCCTACCCTCAAGCAGATCAACACTCCTGCCCAACTTGGTGTCGTCTGCAAACTTACTGAGGGTGCACTTGATCCCCTCATCCAGACCATTGATAAAGATATTAGTTTAGATTAGATTAGTATTAACAGAATAGTCCAAGACTTCTTGTCACCAGTTTGTAACACCTTGCAGATCTCAAAGGTGGGAAAAATCTTTGGCTGTTCTCTTCCAGTCAGTAATTGTTATCCATGGGCATTCACTTGACTATATTTAATGACGTTATAAAACAGACTTGTCCAAAACAACTTATAAATTTATTGTAATGTTATAAGGTAACCTTATTGTAAGGCTTACTTACAGCCTTTCTTAGCAGCCTTTCTCTTAGATTTATGAAGTATTGCAATGCTCTACCAGATACTGGCTTCCTTCATCTGAAGTCTAAGACCCAAACTTTTGTATATAAGTAGTAGTATGCAGGAAGTGTCAAGAACTGCTAGCTGTGAGGCACCACAAAGGAAAACTAGTTCCTTCATAGCTCTGTAATGCAAGAAGATTAGATCTGATGGAACAGTTGTTTCTGTGTTTTTATTATTTAATGTCTTACATAATGCTGATTCAGCCTTCAGTGTTGGTCTACATCTGCAAGTTAACAATGATACAGACTTTAAATTCTCCCTCACAAATGCTACTCTACATACCCAATGCCTGGAGGACAAATGCTGGCCCCTTGCTATGGAAGGTTTAAAAAGCATGTGTTGGGGGCAAGTGAGCTTTGGAGAGTATTGTCTGTAGAGAGTGGTACTTTAAATGTAAAACATACTTCACAGAACAGGTAGTGAGGGTGATGTCTATCACTTTGTAAGTCTTTGCTTCATACTTCCCTCTCCTCTATAAACAGAAAACCATAATCAGGGAGCCTGAAAATGAATCACTTTTTTCTTTCAGTGGAAGCTTATAATATGAGGGATTTAATATTGCACATACTCTTATCAGACTTCATCGCTGGCTGGCAGCATCTACATGGCATTCAGTAGTCCATCTGTTAGCTGTCTGAAAGATGGAAGGATGAAACAGTGAAGACAGAAGATCACTGGAAACAGTCTTTAAAATACTGCCTGGAGCTATTGGTTATCTGTGTAGTCTCACTAGTGAAAGGCATGTTTAAGTATGTGGAAGCTGATGTACAGAGGGGTGAGCTTGGAAATATTGTAGTCACTAAAGAAAGAAGGCAGGCATTTAAGCAAGGTATGTATCTGTTGCTAAGGAAGTAATGACTTCTTCCATTTCTAAAAAAAGCACAGCTTCAATGAGATAGTAAGAGAGGCTGTGCGAATCAGACATTAATGTGTTGTCATTGGGAGCTTAAAGCATAACTTTATTTTTTCTTTAGAGAAAGAAAGAGAAGATCAAGAAAAGCAGCAGAAGGAAGAGCAAGAAAAAACTGTAGAACACACTTCTGTAAAGGAAGCAGACAAAACCAGCCGTACAGGACGACATCCAAGTCGAAGTGCCTTGTCTAGTCGTAATGATCGAAGATCAGTCAAAAGTCCTCAAAAGACAGATGCACCGAAGGAGAATAAACATCCATTTGCTCTGTATGGGTGGGGAGAAAGACAGACAGATACTGGAAGCCAGAAAACTCACAATGTCTGTGCTTCTGCTTCAGCAAATGAAGTAAGTAAAAGCTTCTGTTTTGTTAAAGGGCAGTGACTACTTAGTACGTGGATAAGACATATGTCTATATGTCTTATCTATATCTAGGTAAAACTTCTCAGGGATGCCTTTATTTGAGTGCATGGAGATTCTAGCAATAAATTTAAAAAAAAAATATGCTAGCAATAAACCTGAAGAGGTTTGACATGTCCAAATCAAATAGCTCTTAACTGTTAATCGGTTTTGAAACTTCCCATGTTTGACTAATACTTGCAAGTTCTGATTAAAACTTGGCTATCTTGTTTCTGGCTGTTACAGCGCTACCAGCAAAACTGGCTGTCATAAATGTTTTTCTGCATTCTGAACTTCATGAAAACAAGAAAAAAGCAGCAGGCAGTTAGCACCAGGCATCCCACAGCAGGCAGGTATATAAACACTGGGGTAGTGCTTGTGCTGTGAAAGAGTGACTTTTCCTGGGGCACTCCCTAGGAATAGGAGCCTTGCTGAGAAGGTATGAATGCTTTGCTGCTAAAATGTCTGTCTAGCAGCTCATTTCAGCAGGTTGCCAGCAGGGAACTTTTTGCTGACAGAAGAATGGTCTATCAGATGGCTGATGGATTGCAGGGTTGGTGTAAATATTAGCAAAATAATAGAAATAAAATTCATGGACAGCACCAGAATCCTGTGATAATGGGGTCTGTTTCCTGGCTTACCAAGAAACACTAAGGTTGGAGTGTTACAATAGAGCCATTTCTTTTCTATAACTCTCCTAGGCTGGTAAAATGCAATCATTAATGTATCCCTGCCAGTGTCTTGTCTTTATCTTGCTACTAATGTAGAGTCTGAATCTATGACCCAAGATATCTGAGGACTAAGGTGGGTGGTGTTCTTGATGTATAAGACAGAGCTGACTTCTGATGGGCTGTTTTGGAAGGGGTTTGAAGCATAGTCTTTTCCTTCCTGGACAGCTCAACACTTTGAGGGAAATGAGGAGCTTGGGCCTTGCAGCTCTTGAAAGAAGCTGCCCTTCCTAATAATGGATACTGTTACTGGATTGATAAGCTTTGGTCAGTGGTGGGAATAGTTGACTAGTGCTTTATCTTGAAGCCTAATAGAGGTTGATGCCGGACTTTGAACAGAGATATTTATACTTCAAGACTTTAACATTTCTTATGCTAGAAACAGTTACAGAACCCCTAAGATCAGCTCTTGAGTTTGGAGTGAATGGGCAGGACACTTCCGGAACACTTCCAATTATGTAGTGCTTTGTCACTAAGAATGTTTCTTTAAGTGGGAACTGACTACTTACTGCCTGGCTAGGTCAACTTTTCTCGAATGTTTGAAAGGTGTTACTTTCCTGGAATTGAGATGGAAGACAGGGTTTTAAATCTGGAGATAGAAGCAAGCAAACATAGTAGCTGGCTCTTAAGATTAAATTTGGGGAATATATGATAATTTATTAATGTAAAAATGTATGTAGGTGTGCCTGCAGCATGTTCTCAAAGTTAAGTTCTTCAGTCTCTAGTAAGGAGTCTCTAGGGATTTGTCTTACTACTATGGCTTAGGTTTTAAGGGATGCTTGGGCATATTGAAGAATATTTAAGAATTTAAAATGGTAGAAATAGGAGAATTGAGGTTTTTACAATACGTCAGTAAGATTAAGAAACAAAGCTTTCTTAGGGGGGTTCCTAGGCTGTTTTCCTTCTATAATACTAACTCTGGTCTTTTAGATTCACGAATCTGCTCTACGAGCAAAGAACAGGAGACAAGTGGAGAAAAGGAAGCTTTCTCAGAGACGAGTGCGATCAGCGGAAGCAGAGAAAGCTTGGCGAATAAAGCCCTCCCCACCAGACAACCCTTGGATGACAGAGTATATGAGATGCTACTCAGCAAGAGCTCGGTGAATTTGGATTCCCTTAGGCATCTTCAAAAGAAGTTATGCATATCAGGACACTGGTGCAAGGAACCAAATTACTTATGCAAGGTTTTTATAGGGAGTTTCCAGCTGTTAAAATATTTCTTACGATATTTTTATCTTGGCTACCTACCTCACAGTGGGGTGTATTGTTGGAGCCACAACATTTGAAGAGGCTTTTAGATATAGCTACCCAAACTTTTAAACAATTCCCCTTTTGGGAATCTTTCTAATGCTTCAGTTGACTTGTTTTGGGGGTGGGAGGGGTGAACCTTAGCATACAGGGAATCAAAGCAAACACTTTTTTGATCTTGGTTACAAATAATCTGTTGTCCCTTATTTTAAAAGTCCAAGTCATGGGGAGGTGGTGTTGAGGAAAGGCTTTAAAGGTGTGATGGAGGTGCCTTTGCATTTGATTTAATTACTATTTGATTTAATACTTCTACCAAAATAAGTATATTAAGACAGGCAACAGGAAAGCCAGTGGATCTGGTAAACAGCACTAATAAATGTAAAAGCTTTAGGCAGGCAAATACCAAGTATTGTCTGTATATAGAAACTTTCAAAAAACCTTGTTTGATTAGTGAATCTGCTGATGCTAACTTTTATCGCTGTTTCTAAGGTCATTAGAACAAACTACTAATTTTCAGGGCAAGAAACAGCTACAGGATTGTTTTGCTGTGTTGCTGTGCCTGTTGTACCAAATAACTGATGTAGACAATCATTACCGGATAGCTGCTGCTCAATAAGCAGTTGCTTGTTCTACCAGTATCAAGTTGTACCACTGTACTGAGCTTGTGGTCACACTCACTCTATGCTTAATCATGTAAATGCCAGTTTGTTGAAGGAGAGGGCTGGCTCCTGTCTAGTGAAGTCTATTTTTAACACTTAAGAATATCTATTATTCTCAGTGGGGGTCAGAGTGCAATATGCATTCCATTTAGTGGTATTGTACATGTACACTGTTAAAGGTTTTAAACTTGAAAATCACATTGATAAAACTTGTAGATCAAGTCCTGAGAAGCCTTCTGCCTCAAAATTGGTGCAGAATTCCTCACTGGAGGGGGTGAGGGGGCTAGGGGAAAAAGGAGAGAGGTACCCTTTAGTAAACAAGAATATATAACAGAGTTTGAACACTCTCACTTTGTAGGTCCTACTTCTACATAGTAAGACAGTCATTGTTTGTGAGATCCTCAGTGTTTTTTTTTCTCAAGCTGCTGTAAATTAATTTTTTCAGTTTGGTGACTAAGCTTTAGGCAGATTATTGCTATAGTTGAGAGCTTCAAAGTTTTGTTCAGATGTGTTGTGTGTTAGTTACATATGCTGGTTATCTCAGTTTAACTGTTTTGAAGCTTGTGTTTTACAGACTGGACACCTTCTCACAGGAAGCACACTTGCACTTCTGCAGCAGAAACCTGCGCTAGTCTTAGCTTCATTCCACAATCTCAGTGAGTAAGCAGGACTCTAGAATTACTACTGCAACACAGAGTTACTTGCTTAGTGAAAAGTTTCATTGTGTTATTGAAAGAAAGTAATCATGCAAAGGGACCCAGTCTGCTGCCTCCTAGTGTTAATTACATTACATCACATTAGTAAAGGTTTCATTACTCTCAATTTTAATCTTACTAGGAAGTCCTAGAATCCATGAAATTATAATCTGATTTTTACCTGCCTTTTAAGCATAAAGCTATAAAAATACAGACAACTCTTGTTCAGGATACCTACTAGAGATCTTACAGCTTTTAAGTCTGGGAATGCAAAGTATGATTAAGTAGTTTTAAACATAGCAAAATTACTGTATTCCAACTTTTAGGTAAACCACAGGCTAGAACTTCCTAAAACTTTAGAACAGTGCCCAAAACTGAGGCAAACTATTCCAGAGGATGCCTTTATTCCATATGAGGTTCTTTTAATTTCCTTTTATGCTGTTTTCCTCTTTACATAGCTGTTGTAAATATGCCTAAGTTGCTTCTGATGCTGTTTCAATTCAGAAATCCACCCTAGCTTTGAACAACAGTATCAAAGCACTAACTCAGTAGTGTTTAACAGCCTTATTCAATAAAAACTCTGCCTGTTCCTGTTGCCCACAGGCTCTGTAGGCTTTATGTAACTACAGCAGATGGACTATGCCCTCAGTGCATTTTGTCACATTAAACAGTTTCCTTGATCGTCTAGGGCGGGACTCATCTTGCCATGCTTTCAAAGACAGCTTCTACACTTCTTTTCCCACTGAGAATGAAGGAGCCAAGATGACTATGTGCCTGCCTTAAGTACCCATTTTTGGATAAGATGGATCTCCCATTAGATGTTGGTCTTTCCAATAATTATAGAAGGCTTAAATGTCTTCTGCCTTGGATACTGGGTACCAAACTTAAAACATCTCAAACAGGCTTGTTCAGGTGTTCTATAGAGCATGAGAATTTTCAAATCGTTAAGGCTGCTGTGTACTGAGGAAATGATCTAGTTCTTATCCTTGTCTGGTCAAGAGCTGTTCCCCACTGAAACAATTTGCTAAAGATGGTATTGAAACTGATCAGGTCATGTGAGTCACTGTCATGCTCTTTCAAATGGTCGGTAGCTAAAAATAATCCTGGGTGCTATGTTGGTACTATCTTGGTTTAAGTAATATAATGCCTGAAGTGAGGGGTAAATTATTCTGCAAATCTGGTAGCCTTCCTGCATTTGGGCATTATTTGACTAAAAAAAGGCTAGTAGGTTTGCTTAGACTATGTGAAATAGCACAGTTCTGATCACTGCAAGTTGTATATGCAAAATATTTGGCATGTGCCAGGCTGAAGTCTGGAAAACTGTTATTCTAGTGTTTTGATGCTAACAAATGAAAAGCCAATTGACTTGGAAAGCAGAACTTCTCAAGTGTAAAAGCTTTAACTATATTCCATAGATTCTTACAGGAGGTAGCTGTTTTGCATCAAATTGGACTCACTAAAAATGGAAAACCTAGTGAATGTCACCCTATCAATTAAGGAAGTTCTAAACTTTGTCTTGCATGGACTCTTGAATTCAGCCAAGTGATGAACACTTCTCACTCCTGTTTTAGAAGTAGAACTTTGTTTGTAAGAACACAGTAAATACTCAGTTGTCCAAAGTCTTCATTAAAATAACTGTTTATTCCTTTTTGTTTCTGAAAGTACTTAGCTAAGTGAAACAAGACTTTTTATAATGTGTAATGCTGCAATTTAACTATAGTGTTGTGAAGACTAGTGTTTACAATGTAAATGTTACAATGAAAACTGCATAAGAATGTCCCTGTAAAATACAGTAGCATGCCTGTTCAGTCACTGCTGTCACATCTTTGCGACTATGAATTACAGACTTTTTCACTGGAAGCTGAGATAGTCAAGGTGATAGCTAAACTTGGAGCTAAACTTAACAAAACTGAGTGACAGACCTGAATTTTTGGTAAGAATTTTATCCAGGTAGCAAATGTACATTTTAATCAAATCTTTAACATGTAGGGAAGTGTATCTTTCTCTTTTTTTTTTATGGTGTAATGCAGTGCCACTGAACTATAAGGCCTCTGACTTTTTTTTTTTTACTGTGATAGGGACCAAAAGCTAGCAATCTGAGGGCCTTATGTGTGGTAACCTGGATGTTCCAGTTTATTTTCCAGCTCAGTGTACTCAGCACAAAGCCATATATGGAGCCTGACTCAACACCTTGACAGTAGCCCCTAGAAAATTAGGGGTACAATGGAATGGGAAGCTGCCTCAGCTATTGTTAGCACTGAATTCACTTTAAAAATTATAGGGAAATACCATCTAAGCTTGAAGCAATATGTGGTTTTTTTAAAGTTTCTAAACAGTATTTGTTTTTAATGCTTCTGTATTGTCTATATTTAATAGTGTAGTGTCAACTTGTATATGGGAATAAAATGAGTGATACAAAGTGCCTTGACTGCTCATACTGTCTTTTTGGGATTTCAGGTCTTCCATTACAGGATGCTTTAGTCTCTGCATGCAAACTGTAGCTTCTCCTTCTCCCATATATTCTCTTTGGAAAGTTCTTACTGGTGTTGGGTAAAGGGATAGATTACAGTTACAAGTCCAGCTGAGAGCTGAGCTTCTCCCCTATGTTCCTCCTGTAACCCTCCCACATATTCTTAATACCCTTTCCCAATCTGACTGGCTTTTTCTACCACTAACAAGGAAAAAATAGATCCTAAATTATAGCAGCTATCTGAAGTGCTATGCATGCTGAAGCCTTTGGGAATATTAATTTTTTCCAAAATACTAAGAGGGTAACATGGGAAAAATCAGGAAGCTGCATCACTAAGAACAAGTATAATCTTGCAAATAGGAAAAGTTAAGCTATTAAAGGATGGCTACACTGAAGTTCCACATGCTGCTGGTTCTATAGTAAATGAAGGAAACAAAGCTACCTGGTATTTCTACTCTGTGGATTTACAGTATGTGTCTTGAGATTTTTACAGTGTTTAATTCTTTCAGCATATAGAATATAATGCAAATGAGTAATCAGTTTTTTTTATAGCATTAATTTTTTAAGGATTTACAGAAGCTGTGTACTTTTGCACCATAAGGTACCTAGTTGAATACAAAGAACAGACAGGAGATGGGTCAACTATGAATTGCCTAACAGTCTGGAGAAGTTGTAAGTGCAAATGCATTCTGTATTTTTCCCCTTACTTTAGGTTTTTAAGCATTAACTTCTGAAGCCACATTCTCTGAGAGATCTAGACAGATCCATCTCAGACTGACACAGGGAAAGTAAGTGCACCTTTGCAGCCCTAACCTCTCAAGGGCACACAGAAGGGAAGTGATGTATTGTTCCTCTCTAACAGGGGGTGGCAGAAGTAGTGTTGCAGGGTTGGGGCCCCCATGCCACAGGCAAAGCTGCTACCAGAGAGTGCAATGAAGGCCCTGTTCCAGAAATACACTGAAGCACTCCAGCTCCTTTAGCAGCTGCTGCTGCTTTCCTAGCCACATACTGACTATGCAATTAATTTAGCAGAAGTGTTTTTTCAAGACGATTTAAGGTTTGTCATGTTACAGACTTCACCTAGCAGGCAAAACTTGTACAGGTAAATAGAATTTGCTGTAAGACACCTAGAAAGTCAGGAAAGATTCTTTATTTGGTGCTAGATACAAGCATTAAATGAAGTAGTGTAGGCCAACAGACTCATTAAAAGGCAAGACAGTGGCTTTAATAAGACATTTAAATCTTTTAAAGGTCTGAACAGCTAAAGCTCCACATCCAATAAATCCTAGGATATAGGTACCCAGTATTATTTCATGTAAAACTCCAAGCCATCTCACTTTGGTAAAGTAAGAATTTTACACTAAAAACATACATACATAATTTAACCTATTACTGTTTAACCACTTACTGTTTAGGTGAACTAGGTTTGGTTTGCAGTGTGAACTATAATGCTAAAGCTTAAAATCTACTCTAGGGCTGTTATTAGCATGATGTTTATTTTCAGAAATAAAAAACCCTCAGAGGAGAAATAGTAAGCAGTATAAGCTTGCACTGATGAGAGCTATTGCTTCCAACAGTATTTCCCTCAGGAGTGGCCATTTTAGAAAGTTTCCTTTTAAAATGTTAGTGAGATGCAGCATAAAAGGTTGTGATACTACAAAACATGCACATTAACCTGGTTAATGTGTATACAGTAAGAGTATACATTAAAAAAGTGGTAAAAATGTCAAAACTCATTATGATGACACTATTCTTTCCTTCCAGGTAGGAAGGGGGACAGCTTAAGACAGTTGGTTAAAGAAAGAATAAAACTGTGCTTACTGCTTCTTAACAACAGACACTTGACAAAATTATCATAAGAACCAAGTATACAAAAGAGGCCAGTCTTATATGTAAAGGGAAAAGGACAGGAAGAAGCATAAGAAAATCCCTGCCAAACCCCTAAAATTTCTATTTAAAAGCAACAAAATTGGTTAACAGTCCCCTGCTCCTTTAATAATGAGAAGTAGTTTTGATCAACAGCCAATGCCACTTCAACCATTGTAACAGTGACAGGAGAGAGACCTTTAGCTTTACTTGTGCTATGTCCCAGCTGATAAGTGCACACTCAGCTTTCACTTTTGTCAGTGTACGAAGAAACCAGATTAGATTGTGGTAAGGGTGGGAACAGACTCCCCAAAATCTCATCTTTTCCCAGCATTCCAGAACTGGTTTGGGATTTTGGAACCAACACCCTCCCCACCTCTGGCAGAAACACAATACATCTCAGTTTAATAATATGCCATTTTGACTGGTGGAGGAGACAACTACATCCAACATCTACCTCCCAGGACTTGCTTTTGGTAATTACTTCCAAAATAAATTGAGTGAGGATTAAGACAGGTAAGTTTCTTTGGAGTTCTTTCATGTTCTGGTAAATGCACAATTATTAAGGTGCTTCAGAAATACATTACACTCTCACCAGGAAGAGAATACTCCTTGGGAATAACTTACCAGTTATATACCAAATCCAATCCTAAATATAACAAGATACATAGGGGAGAGATGTAACATAAAAGTCTTTGGACCCAACAGCCTTTGTAAAACTAAACCTAGGCTTTTCAAGTACAAAGCAAACTTAATTCCTTTTAATTCAGAGATGACCTAAGGTGTGTAATTTTCAGATAAGCATCCATTTGAACCAAAAATGTCAGGACAAAGGGAAGAGTTTTAAACACAATTCCAATTCCATGAAAGATGGTATACCTCTGTGTAGCATTCTTGCTTTGCTCTTGTGCTTTAACTGCCCTCTAAATTACAGCATAGGTTTAGTTTTCTGGTTTAGTTTTTAAACATGCATTTGACAAGTGACCCTTAAATAGAAAAGATTCATATATAGAAAACAATAAAGCATGTATGACCTCTGAATTTCCATTCTGGCTTCTAATCAAATTAATTATTTCGTGTTAATTTGCACTTCCGAGGAGACATCCCATTTCTAGTTATACAAGTAACTAAGTAAAAATGTCACTAGTGATTTCCATCAGTGCCAGTGAAATTGCCCCCTTCGATTGGTTGAATTCAGCTACCTCCAGAAACACTAGCTTAGTTCTGCAGCTCCTTACCTGGCAAAACAAAAGCCACAGGTCTCTTACCTGATCAGTTGTCGTGGCACTGTAAAAGTGAAACACAGTACTTGTGGTTCAGTCCTCCCTCTTGGACTCTCTGCAAGTCTCTTCCTCTTCTGTCTCCAGCTGAGGAATGAGGACAGGATTCCTAACCTCTTGCCCCATGCCTCTTCCCCACAATAGAAAGAGGGCAGGAAAGAAAGTCTGAATTGCATGTTTTAAACACAGGAAAAAAAAAATATCAGTACTAAGGCTGAAATTCCCCTTGATGAGTTTCACAGGAAGAACGAACTACATAAGTAGTACGCTTGATTTTTTTCCTTCCATCACACGAGTCTCCTGGGGGCAATGTGGACAGCGTTACGTACAGTGCACTCACATGAAGTTCAAAGGTCTTGTCTCCAGCAAGACAGACTCTAAGTTCCCAATAGAGCTCCAGCAAGACAGACTCTAAGTTCCCAATTTTAAAGTGTAATTTTAAAATTCAAGTTCTTACTTGTACTTCACAAATGTTTAAGAAAAAGAAATTAGTATTTTAAATTTCATACATTCAGGATACTTTAGAAGAACCTGTTTGGGTTCAGTTTGTACCTCACCAGGTATGCTTCAACAGAGATCATATTTCCACAGCTGATTGCTCTGTTTGTGATAAGAGGTTAGGAGAACTCCTACTGTGATAATTCTCCATAAGCCCGTGCCCCTGCCCTAGAATCACAACACACACAGAAGATGCACAGTTCTGTTCACATATACATTCCACCTTCATGATGCCAGTGCTATACAAAACGTCAGGACCAAGAAAAAAAATCCAAGTCAGTCAACAGCTATTTGAGAGACTTATTTTTTCTAAACTTTTGAAGTTGGATAAAAGAGCTTCAGAAGTTATTTAAGAACTGTGATAAAATAGAATATGTGAACGTCAATAAAAATTACTTTTCCAACTTGACATATTAGTAAACTTAAGTATGGGTCCTAACCATATACTGAGAATCAGTCATGTCAACAGCTTGTTAGAATGTGGCCAACTAAGTAGGAAAAAGTAAAACAACAACCCCTCACTGACAGTGCCAATGGTTCTGTAATTCAGGTCATAAATATAAACTATTGTGCAACAAACAAACATGACAAAGCCTACCTCAGTTAAATTTGTTTATATGATAAAAAAATAAAATATTAAACTGCTTGTAGTGCAACATTCTATCAGCATACGTAAGTATACCATGCTTTGTAAATTTACTGTTACATTATTTACAGTATATAGCAATGCTTTAAACTAGAGGTGAAGGAACAAAAATAGGTAATGGAAAATGTTTACATACAGGTATGAGTCTTAATATTGTCCACTGAATTATCAAGTTCGCTTTGCAGACTTTTGTGTCACGTGAACATTCCTGCCCCACACCACACGGTACACCTTTCTGTCAGCAGTGGTCTGCTCTGTTTGTAGATAGTGGAAAGATGTTTTTAAAAACTGCATAGCCTTCAAGCTTTTCTGTTTCTTCAAACACCATTTGCAAGGACAGCTGTAAAATACACAAGAACTCCATCAATTACCTACATCTGATCAATCTGAAAACTCGACTCCTGAAATAAGATCAATAACTATTCACTCCTGTAGAGCTGTGCCGAAGCTGGACTAAATTAACACCCTTTTCCAGCAGTCTCTTAGTTGAAGGATGATATTTTATAGGAGGAAAATAAGGGAGAAAAGCAGTTCAAGGATCCCTATCCATTTAAAATCCTGAGCTCTAATTGGGAGCTAAGCTCCCGGAATATAGAACAAAATATGAGAATGTAGACTTACATGCTGCCTTATTTAACATTCTGTAAAGCTTCTGCTGG